AGTGCGTACGTCTGCCTGGAGACACCCTGTGGTAGGATGCATGTGTGTCTGTGTCCAGAACGTATATGTAGGGGGCTTCTTGGAGGGCTCTGGAGCGCCAGTTGGGGTACTTGTAGTTACCCGTAAGCTCCTCGTGCTCTTATTGCTTCTGCTTGATAGCTTCTTTTGTGCGCAACATACTCGTCACAAGGTGTGCTTGGACCTCCTTCACCTGACTGTGTAGTTTGTGTACTGTCCTATGTGCAGTATGTATGTGCCAATCAACAGTGGTGAGTCCCTTGGGGGAAATTGTAGCGTGCACTGGTACTCTGTTTTGTGGTCGTCCACCACTCCAGCCCACGCAAGCACCGCAAGTGCAAATATAGTTGTCCGGGCCACTGCACGAGTACGTCGTGCACACCTCAAGGCCGCCGTTCGCTCATCCATTGCATGCAACGTAGGTGCCATGATCCAATTTTGCCTGGGCTGTCGTCCTCTCGTGGTCTGCCTTGTCGGGAAGGCCTCCTGCGCGGCTGCGCGGACAAGGGCATCGCGCATGTGTGCATGGTCTGATGTTGATACCTCAAATGGTATCTCTGGGAACTCTGCCAACTTGCTCTTGAAAAGCGCCCGCGCGTCTGGATCATTGAATTTGGCTTGGTCGCGAGGTATCTTGTATCCGCGCCTGGGGGGATGGCCGAGTGATGTCCTATGAAGTGTAGGCATGCTCCTACTGCTTTGTGATCCTCATGTGTGACTGTGAGGTCTATCTTGTCATCGACCCCCTGTGCGCTGACCCATGTACCGTGCGACACTGCAATGTAATCAATCCTGCGCTTCTGTGCCTTGCGGCCTGGGGCCGACCGAGTACCGGCCTGTCCTGAGAAAGATGGCAAACAAGTTGACGGGACCCATTGTTCCGTCTCTTGCAAAAAGTCGTGGAATTTCGCGCCTGGCTCGTTCTACCTCAGCAGCTTCACTGCGGATGGCCTCTGAGATGATGCTCCTGACTCTGCCGTTGGCATCTATACATGTGATGTATGCGTCTGCGCCTTGCCGTAGTGTGCGCATGAGATGTGTAGTTGTTTCCCATCATTGTCTTATGTGTGCCAGCGTGTCGGGGTTGTTGTCATGCAGGCATGGTGCATGCTCCACCAACGCATTGCATGACATTTGCGGAGCACGCATGGCAATAATAATGCGAGATGGCTCTTGATGCAAGGCTCTGCACATTGCTGGCTTGATGTGGCATCCCTCTGCGTGGGCAATTGCTGTGTTGATCCGCGACGCGCAGCCGTCTTGCCCCCTTGGGTTGGCTGCTGACAGTAGCACATGGTAATTTCCCACCGTCGCTGACTTGGCCGTCTGCAGCCTAGTCTCCGCGGCCCCTGCAAGTAGGTAACCGCATCGGTCGAACTGCGCGCCTAGTTGTTTGAAACGTTCCGTTGGAGGTCCCCTGCATGGGCCTTCTGCAATACCTGCGGCCCGCAGGGCCTGGGGGGTCCAGGGTGAGCACATCTGCTGAGAAAACCCAAAGTTTGGCTTCCGTACTTCTGTTGGATGGCTCTGGTGGAGCCTCTGGGATGCAGTCTTTCAACTTCACCTTCGTAGGTAGTTGTTCTGGCATGGGGGTCCCATGCGGCGGAGGTAGGACGGCGCGAGCCGTGTTGGGAATAGTAGCTATCCATGCCCACGGTAGTGCTGTCGTGTGCCGTGGTCGGTCCAGTGCAGCGCGCCATGTGTATGCCGGTGTGCCTGTGTACACTCCATATGATGCAACACGTGCTGCCGTGTCAACCAAGTCGTTCCAGGGGTGATTGCTGTGTCCTGGTGCGTGCTGCCATGCAAATGCGCGCAGTGAGCGTGCGAGTATCTGCACTGATGCGTCCAAGATGGCCTTGGATTCCTTGAGAGCTCCTGACGTACCCCCAAGCTGTGCCACTCGTACCACATCTACATTGTCGCTGTGGAAAGTGACCTCTCATTCGTGCAAGGCAGATTATGCAATCGACCACTTGGCAGCCCAAATTGCTGCTTGTAGCTCGGCGTAGGCAGAGAAAGAGGATGGGGGGATGGCGTCCCTGATACCTGGTAGTGCCCCTGCTTGGAACCCTTCAAGCCATGTGTGCTCATCATTGCTGGCAATGATACAACATGCCCAGGATGGGGGAGCGGGATCAGAACTGTCAGCGTGTCTGTAGCCCCCTGCAGATCCATCTGTGTAGATGTCGATACTCGTCGGTCTTTCTGAGCCGACTCGTGCTTCCAACTCTGCTAGGCCCCGAATCGTAGCTGAGTGCCAAAAATGAGCACATGAGAGGATGCCATCACATTGACCTTCAGGTCATGGCGTCTTGCTGATGTGAAACGTAGAGTCTGCTTCTGGCAGTGGACTACATGCAAGGCCTCTTCTGGTTGCGCCTGAGACGTACGAACCCTCTGGGGCGCTTCGAGCAGCGGGCGCTGTAGGTCTCGAATCCGCTAGCGAAAAGCTTGCTGCTCTTGCTCCTCCGCGCGCGGCGTTTCGCCGTCGGAGCGGAGGGGAGGAAGGTCGTCATCGTCCTCCTGCTGCTTGACGTTCTTTCCCCCCCCCCTTGGCATAGGCCTCCACGAAGCGCGTCTTGGCCTTCTCCGGCTCGGCAATCTTCTTGGCGGAGTTCAGTAGCTGCCCTGGCCCGTCTAGTGTCAAGTCGGGCCTGCCCCTCTGCAGGGGGAAAATTCAAAAATAGTAAAAAATAGTCTGGGGACTATGTTTTGAGTATTTTTGGGCACCTTTTGGGCATTTTTTGAGTATTTATTTATTTTTTATCCAAAACACCCCTGTAGGGGGACAGGCCCGACCTAAGTCTAGTGATTGAACCATCTTGCCCTGCAGTGGCATTGGCTCATGTTGGGCGACTCTCGTGCCTCCTGGCGCTGCAGCTGTAGCTGGATCTGCTGCTGCTGGCTGCGCAGGGGGATTCTGATGTGCGGTCTAAGGCTTCTTCTGCTGTTGCGGGGTCTGCATGACGCCTGCTCGCGTCACTGTGATCAGTGTTGTAGCCATCTGCTCAGCCAGCTTCATCAACTGTGCGACCACGTTGCTGTTGTTTGCCTGCATCGCGGCGAGCGTGGCGGGCAATGTTGTCGCTGAATCCGTTGTGCTGTGGGCTGTTGACGCCGGCGAGCTGGGATCCGCTGCTCTCTTTTTGACTGGGCGCGCCTGTGGCTCGCTCATCATGTCCTCGTTAACGTCCTCCGCGTCACTGATCTGCTCCTCTTTGACCACCTGCTCATTTGTGGCCAGTACCTTGAAATGACTCCGCAAAACTATGGCTCTCTCCAAGTCCTGCCGAACATGTGCCGTCTGCGTCTGGCATTCCTGGAGATATTTCTTCGCATCATCCTCTGTTCTGGCAAATTCATTGAGTCTATTCTGCAATCTCTCAACATATTGAGTTTGATGGGCAATTCTTTCATCTGGCGGTCTTGCAAACATGACCTGGTACATCGTGACTGCAACATCTGTCTCCAATTCGGCTAGCCTGGCTCCCTTTTTGGCCAAGATCGCAACCAACTCGCAACTGCTTCTCGATGGCATCTAGTTGCTTTTTCAAATGTAGGCGATGTTTGTGCACGTCTGCTGCTTTCTTGGGCATTTGCACCTCAACCTATGCGACTCTGCTACGTGTGGCCCTGCTGGTCCGATCATGAGCGGCTCCTTATTGTCGTGATTTTTCCAAATCGGCGCCTGGGATCTCGCACGCATGTTGTCCGACAAAGTGTACCACTCTTGCTGCTGCCACTGCTGCTGCTGTTGATTGGGTCTGTGCCATCTTCTCGGACGTGAAACCTCTCTCCATGGTCGTGGGTCCTCCTGTGGTTCTGGCTCTTCCACCGTATATGATTTCGTCTGCTTCTGGGTGGGCGTCACCTCACAAAATCTGCAAGAGGCTGAAATCGGCGGGTTTGACCTGCTGCATATCGAGCGTTCCCAGAAGTTTGATCTGCTCGACCACCCCGACGTCCTATGCGACGCATAATTGTGATGACGCATCGTGCTGTGATGGCTCCGTAGGAGCTCTGCTGCTGCTGCGACTCTGCGCAACGTTCGGGCTTGGGCTCTGGCGCTGCGTCTGCGCCTGTGCCAAGCTGGCTCGTGCACCTCTCTCTGACTGGTCGTCGTCTGTCGCCGCTGGGATGTGTCACGGTCCGCCCGTGCACTCGCTGGGCTGTGCTGGCGTTTGGTATCGGGCCGACGCGTATGGCAGCTGTCCCTGCTTGGGCTCGCCGCTGCTTGGTAGCAGCTGCCAAAGCCTGAGCCGGGACGGCGGCTCGGGAGGAGGAGGAGGAGGAGGAGGAGGAGGGAGGAGGGAGGAAGGATGGGGGGAACGAGGGCGGAGGCACGCGGGGCGATGCGTGTTCAGAGTGAGGACCCAAAACACCACAGGAGGGCCGGGAAGGGCGGAGGGCGAGGGCGGAGGCGCAGGAGGGGGGGGGGGGCAGGCGCGTGGGCCAGGCGGCGCCTCTCGGTGTGGAGCGCTCCGCGTCGGGGGGCTGCCGCGGGAGGCCCAGCGCGCTGGGCTGCCCCGGGTCCTGCGCCTCGAGCTCAGGGGAGCCAGCACGAGGCCCATTCTGGAGTATTGACCGGTTAGATTCAAGTCGGGCCTGTCCCTCTACAGGGGGAATATTCAAAAATAGTAAAAAATAGTCTGGGGACTATTTTTTGACTATTTTTGGGTGTCTTTTGGGCATTTTTTGTGTATTTTCATTTTTCGCCCAAAATCTCCCTGTAAGAGGACAGGCCCGACTTAAGACTAGATCGAGACGGGAAGGGAACGAATGGGGACGAAGACCAAGAGCAGTCCCTGCCCATTTTGAACAGGGTTCGTTGTCTGTGTCGCCGCGGACGTTGTCCATTTCAGACACAGGCTCGCCTGCCCACCAGCTGCCGCTGTCGGCTGTGGTCAGCATTTGCTGCTGGGTATCGTACCCAATGTGAGCGCGCCAGTTCGAAACCTTCCGATGATTATGCTCACCAGGTGCTGGCACCCAGGCCGGAAGAGCAGGTTATCATCAACCTCCCAGCCACGGTCGAGATGGCGTCGGCCAACGTGTACGCCGACCAGATCGAGTGGATGCACACGCACTTTCAGAACAGGGAGAAGGTGATCCTGTCGCTGCATCCCCACAACGATCGCGGGAGCGGGATCGCGGCCGCGGAGCTCGGGGTCCTGGCCGGAGCCGACCGCGTGGAGGGCTGCCTGTTCGGCAGCCCGGATGACTCGCTGCAGCCACGAGTCCGCTGCTCTTTCCCTCTCCCCTCCTAAATGTTTCAGGAGGGAAAAACCACACACACAGACACAATGAAGCGTCGATTCCCCAGAAAATATAGGAAAATAGGGGAGGTGGGGGGAAGTCGGAAAATATTGGGAATCCCGTTATTTGTGTGTATTTATTTGTGTGTCCCAGGGCCCCTTCATTCTCTGACTGGGCTCGAGGACGCCGCACGGAAAGGCAGGGAAGGGGAGGGGGGGGGAGCATCGGACTGGCGGGTGTGGTGACGCGTGCCTCCCAGGCAACGGTGAGCGCACCGGGAATGTGTGCCTGATCACGCTCGCCATGAATCTCTTCACGCAGGGCATCGACCCGGAGGTGGACCTCAGCTGGGGAACCGAACCAGTACACTTAGATGCCCCACCCTTGCCTCCTCATCCTCATTCGATAGATTCCTCCTCAACTTCTTCGACCTCTTCCTCCCCTTCCTTCTCCTCCTCCTCTTCCTTCTGCTCTTATCTTCTCCTCTACTCTCTCGATCCTCCTCCTGCTCCTCCTCCTCCTTCTCCTCCTCCCTTGCTCGTCCAGCCCCCTCTCCTCCCCTTCCAGTCTTCCGTCCTCCTCCCCTCACGCTCCCCGCCCTTCTCTTTCCTGCCAGCGGGGGTGGGATAGATGCACCGTTTTGGTTCCCCACCAGCAACATTCAGGAGAGCATCGAAGTGGCTGAACACTGCAACGAGCTTCGAGTGCCAGAGAGGTGGCCTTGGGCTGGCTCACTGGTTTACACGGCTTTCAGCGGGTCCCACCAGGATGCCATCAAGAAAGGCATGGCCAAGATGAAGGCCCCTGAAGCCAAGTACTGGGAAGTGCCATATCTGCCAGTCGATCCGATGGACATCGGACGCTCGTATGAAGCGATCGTTAGAGTCAATTCGCAGTCTGGCAAGGGAGGGATTGCGTACATTCTTGAGGAAGATTATGGCATTGCCTTGCCGAAAGAAGCACAAGCTGAATTTTCCCAGGTCATTCAGGAGATCACAGATCGCACGAAGGCCGAGATTGGAAACGCCGACATTTATGCGCGGTTCCTTGAGCATTACGTGGAGCAGAGCAATGGCTTCAAGTTGGTCGACCTGGATATATCCACGAAACTTGTCGCCATTGAGGAGCTCGAGAAGAGGGGGATTACAGGTGATGGGCCTGTTTTCCACCACCACCACCATATGTTGGAGGGGGAGGGGGTCCTCCTCCTCCTCCTCCTCCTCGTCCTCCTCCTCCTCGTCCTCGTCCTCCTCCACCTCCTCCTCCTATTCGTCCTCCTCCTCCTCCTCTCCCTCCAACTTATGGTGGTGGCGGTGGTGGAAAACAGGCACATCAACAGGGCTGCCCAGGGACCTCCAGTCACAGGTGGTCAGGGTGTGCAAGCCGCTCGTGAATCGGGAAAAGTGCTACGATACGTTCTTTGACAGCTTCGTCAACGTCAAATCTCCTCTGGAGCTCGTCAGCTTCGAGGTGTCAGGGGACAAGGACCGCAGGCCTAGAGGTTGACACCAACACCAATATCGGCGGTGTGCCTCCACCGAGGGAAGAAAAGATATCTCGATCTCGGTGATGGTGGTAATATTCTGGCTTCCATGGTGATCGAACTATTACCACCAACATCGAAATCTAGGATCATCTTCCCCCCTGTGGAGGCAGCCTCCTGTGTTGGTGTTGGTGCCCATTTCCAGGCCTCCAAAAGGAGATCACAACCACAGCAACGGTGAATTTCAGGGGCGAGGTGAAGACGGTGACAGCGTGCGGAAACGGTCCCATCGACGCCTACGTCAAGGCACTGAATTCTCTATCGGGCAGCTGCCTGACAGTACGAAGCTACGAGCAGCACTCCTTGCAGCACTCGTCCTCTTCGGACGCGTTCTGCTCGATCGAGATAGCTCGAAGGGCTGCGCCCTCCGTCGATGGACCCCCGGGCAGGAGGGCATCTCGGGAATACCTTGGGGCCAGCCTGCTTCTTTCATTGGGGTTTTACTGGGCTGTCCGGGGGCCTCTTGGGGGCCTCTGGGCACCCCGCGGGTCTCCCTCTGGGCCCCTCCAGGCGATGCTGGGGCTCGCCGGGGGCCTCCGAAGGCGGTCTTGGGGAGTCCAGCAGGGGTGGCACGAGCGAGTGCGACTGCTGGAAGCAGAACGGTGGCAGCTCGACCCGTGCGTACACGCGAGTCAAGCGAAGCGCATTACAAGGGGGCACTAACTAACTAGTCTGAGCGAGAGCAAGTTTCACTAGTCGAGCAAGCTTGGGGACTCCTAGGGGCATCCCGAGGCCAGTTTTGGCCTCTGGGCCACCTCGGGCAACGTTGGTGGCGTCTCGGAGCCTCCGCAGGTCGCCTTGGGGCTATCGTGTGCGATCCGGGAGCGAACGTCTTGGGGCTATCTTGGTGGGTTCTTCGGGCCCTCCTTCGGTGGCGAGCAAGAGGGGGAAGTAAGAACGAGAAGGCCTTCTCAGAAGGCGGCGGGGCTTCTCAGAGGCCCTCTGGTCTTCTGAGAGGTTTTCGGTGTCTTCGGGAGGGCTTAGAAGACTTATCAGAAGGCTGGGGAACTTCCGAGCCTTCTGAGAAGGTCCTCCCCTTCTCACTTTCCCCCGGGCTCGCTGCCGAATCTTGTTGGGCTCTTCGGGCCCTCTTGAACCGTCTCGGGGTTGCCTTGATGCCCTCTCGGCGTTCGCTTTGGACCCCTTGCGGCGTTCCTGGATGCCTCTTGGACCCTCTTGTCCGTCTGATGGCGTCCCTATGGAAATCCCAAGGCAACCTTGCGCGGCCAGGAGGCCAAGGCGCATGTCTCACCATTTCGCAATTGTGTCCTTGCTTTGTGGTTTGGTTGCGCTTGTTTTGTTATACATCCATGCACATAGGTATGACGATATGCATCTATGAGCATATATGTGCAGGTAGATATGCACACACATACATATACACGTGTGTGTGTGTACGATATGCATCTGGATTCGCCGCGCCCTCCTGTAGTCGACAGTAGAGCCTTGGCAGGACTGCGGAGACGAGAGACAGGAATGAAGAGGCGCGTTCGACAAGAAGCGATAACAGCGAGACCGCTGGCCAGCAGACAGCGCAGCCAGGCGCCCCCGAAGGGGCCCAGCGGATCCGAGGACGTGCCTGGCACCCCGAGAGGTACTCCGCACTTCGGCGTCGGCATCCACGCCAACACGACGCAGGCGTCGTTCAACGCCGTCACGGTGGGGTTCAACCGCACCCTCGCCAGCAGGACGAATGGCCACGCCGAGCCCGACGACGCTCTCGAGTCCCTGTGCTCCATAAGCGCGCATGTCCGATACCAGGGGAAGACGACCCATATCCTCGGCACGGGCACGGGGCCTGTCGCCGCCTTCATGAACGGCATAAGAACTTACTTTCCCGTTGCCAAGGACCTGGGGGGCTCCACTCTGCTGGCTCACGGCCATCCTGATTTATACGAGCCATGCCTATTCCGAGTCCTGGTCCTGGTCCCAGTCCTGGTCCTGGTCCTGGTCCTAGTCCTAGTCTTATTCCTGTTCCCGTTCCTGTTCCTGTTCCTATTCCTGCCCTCCTCCCCTCCTCCCCTCCACTCCTCCCCTCCGCCCCGCCTCCCCGCCTCCCCTCCTCCTCCCCTCCCCTCTGGCCCTCCCGCCCTCCTCCCCTCTTCTCCTGCTTCCCCCTCCTCCCCTCCGCCCCTCCTCCCCTCCTCCACTCCACTCCCCTTCCCTCCACGCCCCTTCGCCCCGCCCCTCCTCCCCCGACTCCTTCCCTCCGCCCCCCCCCGTCGTGTCCCAGCCTCCCCTCCTCTCGCCTCCTCCTCACACGGCCTCGCGCCCTGCCGGCCAGCTCGCCTCCGATGCGTGCATGGGGCGCCGTCTTTGCGCCCCGAGATCCCCGTCCCTGCCTTCCTCACTTCCCCGTCTGAGGAGGAGGGGGAGGAGGGGGAGGAGGGGGAGGAGGGGGAGGAGGAGGAGGAGGAGGAGGAGGAGGAGGAGGAAGAGGAGGAGGATCGTCTCCACCTCCTTGGGCTCTCCATCGTGTCCTTCATCTTCCTCCCAACTCTTTGCCAGTGGCGCAGTTGTTGGCGCTCAGAACGTGGTCTCGAATCCGACTCCAATCTATGAGAATTCAGACGGTAGCAACACTAGTCCGAGCAGCGCGGAGCACAGTCACGAATTGGCCACCTCTTGGGGGCAAGCTCCAGGCTGCATGCAAAGAACACCTAGAGATGGCGCGCTGGACTCGTGGATCTAGGTCACCCCCATCACTGGGAGGCCCGTCCTTCTGTGCAGGGGTTCTTTGAGGCTCACCGCTCTTTTCCGCAGGCGCCCAGGCTCCATGATCACGTTTCAAATGCGAAGGTTGGCCTCGGAGAGACGTTGGCTTTGAACCCTCGGGCGCCCATCCAGAGAACGATCTCCAGGGCGTTA